AGATATATATATATATATAGATAGGTAGGATGGAAGGAAGGACCAGATAGAAAGATAGATAGATGGATAGACAGAAACACAGATAGATAGATAGATAGAAAGACAGACAGATTGACAGGTTGACAGATAAATCGACTTAGCCAAATAGATAAAAGAAAGAATGATAGATAAATAGATAATCAGGCAGATAGATAGACAGATAGATAGATGGATAGATAGATGGATAGATAGATAGATAGATAAATAGACATAAAGACAAATAGATGAACAGAAGATAGATCGGTAGATAGATAGATAGGTAGGTAGATAGATAGATATATCGATAGATACATAGATAGTTGGATAGATAGATAGGTAGGTAGATAGACAGACAGACGGATGGATAGGCAGATAGAATATATGCGTGTGTGTGTGTGTGTGTGTTTTATGCACATATATATATATATATGTATACGCATGCATACACAAACACACACACACAGACCGTATGGTCTATACATATATATATATATATAGGTTAAATGTATAGATATAGGTATCGGTATAGCTATGGGTATAGGTAGGGAGGGACGGAGGGAGGGAGGGAGGGGAGTGGGTGTCATGTTCCATATTCATTTTTGTCTAGGTTAGTTTTGTTGTACAGGCACCTGGCCTCAAAACCCAGACCATGCTGCGGTCATTCCTCTGTTATTCTGGCCGCAATCTTTTCCAGAGCAAAGTTGAGCGAACCCAGAACCCAGGCAGCCTCCCCATGGCCGGCCAAAGCTGCCAGGTGCAAGGAACGGCCAAAGCATGAACCTCCGCATGCAGGCGGTCCTACATTTCTATACAAGCACCTGCTTGAAACCTGAGAGCTTCGCGGCTCTCTGTCGGGAAAACGCTTAGAGCAGCCTGCTAAAATTTCTCGATGACAGAGGCGATCTTCGCACTGACCTAGGACCTAGGACCCCGCATCCCCTGCGGGAAGCGCCCCTAAACCCTAAACTAAACCCTTTACATGGTCTGTACCTTAACCTACCAAAACCCACTTTTTTGTAGGTTATTATTATAAACCCTGATATGGGATTTATAGGGACCCTACAAAAAAGTAGGTTCTGGTGGGTTAAGGTAAACCCTAAGGAGGCACCGTTCGTCAGCAGCAGGCGGAGGACGCTCATCTGACCACACCAGGAGGCGACCTGCCCAAAGCGGGAGCTCAGGTTCTTACTCGGTTTAAGATTTGAGAGGATCAGCTATAGCCTCAAACCACATGCTACTATGTATATTAGGCAATACTCTGTGATATGCTATTCTACTGTTTTCTATGATGTAATGCTATTCTTTGCTATGGCAAAGATACAACATCATGTTATGATATGTGATGCCAGATTAGATGAGCTTAGACTAGATTAGGATAGATCAGATTAGATTAGACCAGCATAGACCCGATTATTATGCATGATGCTATATTGTACTCTATCAGATTATTGTAACTATAGTAGCTATAGTATATCGAGTTGTAGGGTGTGTGGTTTAGGGGCTTAGGGTTTGGGGTGAAGGGCTTAGGGTTCTTAGACTGCGGCTTCCTCATCTTCGTCTATTCCGGTCATGGCCGGGGCTTCGTAGGTAATATAGCGGCCTTCATAATTAGAATAGGGTTTTGGAGGCCCATCATACTATATTTAGAATATATAATATAAGGAACCACCAAAATATACAAAATAAATAGGTAAGTATTTAGGCTTCTATAGTATGGGAATGGGGAAGAGTGGTACCTCGATCGGCAAGCTCATCTCTTCGCCACCGCGCGCATGCCTTTCGAGGCACACTGCAGGGCTGGAGTGCACGCTCTCACATCTACAGTCGTACATACAAGCAGGTGTCAAGTGCAGATGTGGTGCGGGAGGCTCTACCTATGTGCAACGATTATCCTACGAAAACTCAAGTGAGATCAACCTTCACTACACTTAGAGGATCAGGGGACATTGAAAGGAGGTTAAAAGCAGGGTCATCAACCAGGTAATCCGCTCTTAGCTCTAGGGTTCTCATAGCCCCAAGTTTGACCTACTGACAAAGTCCCCTGATCCTTCGGGCATGCTGAGTCGTCCGCAGGTCCGCGCCACAAGAGAAGAGCAGCTCCGCCAGTTGGAGGTCTCCAGACCTCTCTGGCTATGAAGATTTCGGAAGGCTCCAGCTCCAAAAGCAAAAGAATCACCAGACCCCAAGACCCGAACCAGAATTTCTGGGACCTGAACTGGAAACCCAAAAGAGCGTCTCGGAAGCTTCCGAGCTTCCAGCTGCAGGACGTTTGGAAGGGCTTACCGTGCGTGCAACAGACATTGCTCAAAGCTCAAAGTTTTCTGGGCTACGACAACAGGACGAGCGCAGCAGGAGACGGCCGTCGCTAGTGAACCGCTGGCAATGGAGCCCTCGAAAACAATCGTTTTTAACCTCCCTCTTCAAGATTCGATGGAAACTCGAAGCCCTCAACTCCTTAGGTAGAATCATTTCTTGAAGGGAGGTCGGCGTTGTCTCGAGAACTTGCAGACTTCTGTCTCTATGCCTGCATCCCTAAAAAGCTAGACTTAGACCCGGCGACCCCAAATGACAGCTGGTGCTAACTCGGGCTGCGAAGTCCACGTCTCCAATGACCCTCATGGCCGTTTTAGACAACTTTGAGTTTAGGATTTCAGAGCACAGGGTGTTACAGGTGATGTTCGTTACTGGCTTCCTGGATCCTAGTGCTCCCAACACTTGCGCTGATAACCCTGACACTCCAAAACCTTCGACACCTAAAGCCGTGACATGCACTTGGGGGAGCACTCGCAAGCGCGATGAAGCAACGGCCGACCTCGGAAACCTCGGAGTTTGCAAAGGCTTAGCCTACATGTCACTGTGAATATCGATGCATTCTAATTCTGTATAAGTATACATAGGCACAAACCATGATGCACTATTCATGATGCAATATGTAAACTATTTACTATACATCTGCAAGGCAAAGCAGCCGCGGCATTCACTTGACCTTGGCTCTGTGGAGCCATAGCAGGGCTCTTGACCATACGTGCGTGCGTATACGTCAAGAACATATCTATCTATCTATCTATCTATCTATCTATCTATGTATCTGTCTATCTATCTAGCTAGCTAGCTAGCTAGCTAGCCAGCTAGCTAGAAGGCTGGCTAGCTAACTAGCTAGCTAGCTATCTATGTATCTAGCCATCTATCTATCTATCCGTCTGTCACAGTCTGTCTATCTATCTGTCTATCTGTCTATCTGTCTGTTTATCTGTCTATTTATCTTTCTATCTGTCTAACTATCTATCTATCTGATACTATCTGTCTACCGACATAATATACATAAATGCATATACGATCGCCAGCTGCACAATTGTATTCCTTCATCCCGGACCTACCTTTCCATTCCCGGTTGTGGCTGGCCGTGGAAACGTGAGGCCACGAACATGACAAGGAGCAGTGTCGCCAATGCTTGATCCGTCAACCAAGAAACGAGCAACGTTTCGGGACTTACATCAACCCCAACCTCTTCAGGACCGCCCAAGTAATCACAGGATTTCGCTTGAAGTTCGTGTGCTCGGATCAGGATCATGATTTCTTTGGGGGTGAGTCCTTATCATTCTCGAAACCTCTGAGCACGACTGCTGAGCGGGGGGCTGTAGTCCGGCGCCAGACCCCTGCGGCCGACTCTGCGGTGTCAATTATCGGCCCGTCTCCCGTCTCCCGGTCACGACTAGGGTGCAGGAACACCGGGCAGAAACAAGAAACTGATGTTGGGCGTCATGCCTGGTGCAGGACAACTTTTACTACTGCTACCTGCTCCTGCCACTAGCGTTACGAGAGTGTCGGCTATTCTGGACTCAATAACAGAACGCTCAGATCCGATTGAACTGGCAAGCCGGTCATCGGCAAAGCCATGGCCTGGCCAGCAGCTCTCGCAAATACTGCAATCGAGCATCGTCTCCTCCTTCGATTCGTTTTGCCAGGTTTGCAGAGGGCCTGCATCCTTGCTTTGGTTGTTTGGTGTCTTGTGGGCGAAGGCTCCCCTACAATCCTGTCGCAAGTCGCGGGTGCATGCTTTGGGCGAAGGGACCTCTGGAATTGCAAGGGGGGAGCAGAGCAATCGCGTCTTTTTGCTAGTTGACGGATGCCGGATACCGAGAGCAACACGGTCCCAGAGTCATGATCATAGTTTTCAGTACTACTATGATGACCAGATCTGTGTCTACATGGGTACTCCGTAATAAAGGCAATCAGATGGACCATTGGAATCTGTTACTGTCCTTTGCAGCCGCCGCCACGCTAATCCCTAACCCGATTTTCTAGAACTTACGACAAGCCAACGACATCCCTTCCCTTTAGAAGGGCCTTGAAAGTGGGGTGGCCAGAAGAGCGGGCGTCTCAAAATTAACAGGATCCACCCTTTAGCGGTGCCTGTGCCAAGGATACTGTTACATAGTTAAAGGAAACTACAGGTGGGTAGTTGAGAGTATATAGGGCTTCCATAAGGCTTCTATAAGGTATATAGGCCTTCTATAAGGCTCCTATAGCGGTAACTAGCCACCTGAAGATGTCCTAGACATAGAGTCTGTGCGAGCCTGATTTTCTGAAACTCCCTAAACCCTAAACCCTAAACCCTGAACCCTAAACCCTAAACCCTAAACCCTAAACCCTAATGGAAGGTACCCCTGTGCGGTAAGCCAGGCTTCGGAGCCCAGAGCCCCCTCCAACCAAGGAAGGTCACACCTTAGGTAGTATTCTTAGGGGTACCCCTTAAAGGGTACCCCTTCTGAACCGTACTTTTGGCCCTCTTAAAAGGGACCTTATTGAGAGGGTCTATATTTCCAAGGGTCCCCCTAATCCTAGCTCCGACTCCTGGACCGCGAAGGCCAAAAGCGTCTGGTAGAAACAGGGCACCTCTGCACGCAGAGACCCCAAACCTAAACCCTAGATTCATAAATAGTATTAATAGCAATGATAGAAATAGTAATAATAAAAAATAGTAATAATAATGATAGAACCTCTAACCCTGGTAAACCCCCTTAAACCTTGATCTCGCCACTTGGGCATGAGGATCTTGACCCTAACGCAGCCACAGGGAGAGTGAACGTCAGAGGCATTCTCAGTACTACTAAAACTACCAAGGGTTTAGGGTTTAGGGAACATCATCACCATTCTGAATACACATTTGTCGTTATGATGTCTTACAGACAAAACATCCGAGGCACTTTCCAGCTCCGGCCAGGCAGCATTGGCCTGCCGATGGGCCAGCAATCCCGCAGGCTTCAGGTTCCCATAAACGCACATATGACCATGTTGAGTGTATGTGCTTATGTATGTGTGTACACATATATGCACACACACGCACACACACACACACACACCTATTCATACATGTACATCGGCAGAACCTATATCTTTAAACATATGTATATACACATCCATCCATGCATGCATACATACATATAAGTATACCTACAGCACACTACAGCACACACACACACACACATGTTGCAGCCTTGTATGTGTATATGTACTATATATATATATATGTGTGTGTGTGTGTTATTTGTATATGCATGCATTTCCACTTAATTGTGTGGGTTGGGCTTTCAACTTTGGGAACTCGTTACGCATTGGGGCTACGGCTACGGCAGCCAGAGCATGACATTTCCGACGTCGTACTGGGTGCGCAGGCGCTTGGGCTTGAATCACCTAGGGCGCGATGCTGCTTTTGCTTGAGATGTGAGGAGGGTGTCCTTGAGTTTTAGCTCCCTTCAGCTGGACACCAGAAACAAGGTTGTTCACTTCAAGTCTTGTTTAAGCAATAGCCACAGCAGGCTGTGTTGATCTGGAGCCCGCAGCAGGAATGAAGATAAGGACACCCACGGCATGAGCGGCGGGAACCAGAAACGTTCGAGGACTGAACAAACAAGGTTGTTGTCCCGGACTAGTCACAACTGGGCCATTCGACAACAGGGATGTTGGTAGCCTAAGGCCCGGCCTCCTGTTTGCCCATGGCACGTGGGGCTTTCACTGCAACCTTCTCCGGTCGGGCCCCGGAGAAGTGAGGGTACACGGTCCTGGGACGCTTCACGGATTTAGGGTTTTCCGAGATGCATCGGCGTCAACGCGGGCTCAGGGTTTTGGGGCCTAATTCAGGGGCTGCGGACAGTTAAGGATGTCGCGGGTGGCTGAAGGCCTACCCACACGCTGGAGTTGTCTGGTGTTGTCTTCTAAGACGGTCGTGTTGCAAGCAAGCTGCGAGGTGGTCAATGGATATCCATCCGTGATGGCTTGCACCAAGAAGTTCCTGACAAGACATGAGGCGAGCACATGAAGGGGCTTTCTGGATCCACACGGGGGTTTGCCAGTCAGCTGTAGACCAGTTCTTCATCCATCTGCCAGGAAGGCTCTCAGAACTGACAACAAACCGGTTGCCCTGGCAGACTTTGTACAGCTAAAAGGCTTAGGTGTCGTGCGGCTTGACCTTCAGGTTGCAACGGGCGAGAGCTTTCGCGTTCTAGAGCCTCAAAGGCCAACGCCACCTTGCAGCCCTAAACCCTTACAAACACCAAGCACGATTTGGGGGTTTCCGAAAATAGGGGACCCCAATATAGTACCATAAACAGTAGGATCCTTATTATAATGACCCCAAGATAAGGTACCCCTTGTTTTCGGAAACTCCCATTTCATGTTGACAAGCTAAACCCGAAACCCGAAAGCCCTGCTCATCTTCAGACCATGAGCCTCGGTGGCTAGGATCCGAGCTCTAAAGGGATAGAGTCGCGCTGTCAAGGATAGGAGGAACAGAATGTCCGAGGTATCTAAGCACCCACCCGGAAGGATTCGACTAGTTGCAACGCGATTTTTATGGAACATGTGTAGTGCTCATATCAAGACCGACATCTATACTAATGCAGGGGACTTAAAAACCGTAGAACAAGGCCTGGCGTAGAACAAGGGAATAGTATTACCAATTTTCCGAGTCTTATTATTTAATAATCGATTCCAATCAATTTCAAATTCCCAAAATATTTAACTAACTTTAGATGGATCGTGGGAAGCCCCACCTCGGATCGCCCGGCTGTGCGTTCAGGAGCTGCGCATCCAAGCGCACCACGAGCTCGTGGAGCCGCGCCTTCTCGGCCGAGGGCCTGGGAAATGGAGGCAGTAGTAAGATTTGGGTTTAGGGTTTAGGGTTTAGGGTTTAGGGTTTAGGGTGTTGGGTTTAGGGTTTAGGGTTTAGGGTGGTGGGTTTAGGGTTGGACTTTCAGTGATCGAATCTCTGGGGGCTGAACTTGCCAGGCCGATTTCGGACTTCGTTTCTACCGGTTCCTGTAAAGGTTCCTGCAAGTTAGTAAGGGCTCTTATAAGGGTTCGGGATGTAGGGGTTTAGGTTTTGGGGATTACAGGCTCCGGGGGCGACTTTGCGTTATACTGCGATCCACTGCCAGAAGTTCAGCTTTGAACGTGAAGGACTAAGCCCTGAAGCCCTCAAAGCCCTCAGATCAAGCCCTTATCGAAACCTCGAAGACAACCCTATACGAGTGAGTACCATCAGGCCTCTGATATAATAAACCCTTCAAGACGAGGCTGGGCCCTCCCTAAACCCTAAACCCTAAACTGCCCTAAAACAACCAAGCTGGGCCCTCCACAAAGAGTCCCAGACCTGCAAAGAAGGAATCTACGGGATGGGTCTTTGGGGTTTCGGGCTGGGGGGGCTTTGTGTTTGGGGCGAGCTCCGGGTTTCGGGGCGTCGGGGTCTTCGGGCTTCGGGTTTGAGGTTCAGGGCTTCGGCCTCTGATGCTCTGGCAATGTATGCTGTCACAGCAGTCGCCATCCCGCAAAATAACGAACAACACAATAGTACTCATAACAACAATAAGGGTAACAGCAAAGGGTAACAGTAATAATGACAGCAACAGTAATAATGAGTAGTAGTGTAAACTACTAATGCGGCCACTCCAGCGGAAGCCCTTGCCTCGGCCCACTTGCTCTTGCGCCTCGGTCACTGAGGAAACCCGCACCGGACTCACCGAAGTCTACGCCTGGGTCTTAGGACGGTAAGCTTCAGTCACCGGCTCGTCATCGAAATAACAACGACATTATGACTGACAGACTACTTTTTTGGCAAGTCTCTGTGTACATCCATACAACACCATCGGCAGGGGTCTGGAGAAATACTCGGCGACCCTAGGACCCTAGGACTCCGTCGGGCAGGCGAGACTCTGATGTGAGCGGGGGTCGACATGTCACCGCTCATGATCACTTTGAACTGAAAAGGTCTGGAAGTTGCGCTGAGGCGTCATGATGTCTGTATTCACTGGTGCTCTAAAGACCTTTACGTGCGACGCAGGCTACATTCGATGCTACATCTTCGGGATCCTGCAGCCTCGGGAAGGCCTCAGCAGATAAGGCTTTGGGGCCCATGTGGTGATCGAAGCTGAGACGACCACGACTGCGCTGCAGCTATCTCAGCCTCTGCATGCATCAAGTCGACCGGTGGAGCTGTGTAGTTCGTACTGCACAGCTGCAGAGATCCATCATGGGGAAACCGTCTGTGCTGCATATTCAGGGTCCCCTCGTGCGCTTGTTGGCCCCACTGCTGTCCACCCGGGCCTCGATCTCCAATGCTTGGCGATGGAGGATGGCAATTCCTCGGCGTTCCAGGTCCTGGAATCGGGCCTCAGATGTAGATGCAAGAGAACTGAAGCCACCCTGTAAACGGATGTGATCTCGGCATATGCTACTTGTGCTGTGCCTTCCACAAACATACATTATGCAGTCATACACATGTTCGTGTATGCCAAAGTGTGTGTATGTAGATATTGTGTGTATACATACATACGTGTATATGCACATTATACACACACATACTTATATGCACATATGTATACAAAGTTATGCATGTATATACATACACCCGTACATACATAGATACATACAAACCGGCAGACATCCCTGCACGCACGCGTACATACATTCATGCATGCATGCATACAAATATCCATCCAAGCGTACATGCATACATACTGACACGCATGCATACCTACTTACCTACTTACCTACCTACCTCCCCACCTACCTCCCTGCTCCTACCTACCTGCCTACGTACCTGCGTACCTCCCTCCCTCCCTCCCTCCCTCCCTCCCTCCCTACCAACCTAGCTATAAGCTATATGTACGTATGTAGGCAACATTGCAAACTGTGATCAAGTCACGCGGGGTTCCCTAGATTAGGTTCCGCTTTCAGATCCTTATCACAAAAGTGACGCCTGCCTTTGTGCATCCCCAAGGGGAGCCTAACTTAGGGAACCTGACCTCCGCCCAAAATGGCAATAACGCCCTGCATGATCCCCAAAGAGGCACCAACAATACCTCACAGCCCTACTTGTGTGCAAAGGCACCTCTCTCTCTCTCTATATATATATATATAGTACAGTGCAACATGACACATACATACATACATACATACATACATACATACATACATCATACATACATACATACATACATACATACATACATACATACATACATACATATGTACATATGTATATAAATACATACATGCATACATATACAGGCATACATACATACATTACATGCATTACGTACATTACAGACATTACATACAGACATACATACATCCATACATCCATACTTACATACAGACATACAGACATACGTTCATACATTCAAATAACACACAATACATGCACACACATATGCATAGATACATATGTAGCATCATATGTATGTATGAATGCATGTATGTATGCATGCATGCGCGTGTATAAATACATAAATAAATAAATGTATATATACACATATATAGAAACACACACTATGGAGGCCACTACAACAAACCCTCATAGTTCTCCTTCAAGGAACCTTGACCCTGGTCATAGTCTAATTATGGCTATGGTAAGCAGATCTTCCCATGTGAGCACTGGGACTGGCGCTAGGCTTCCCCATCGAGGCTTTGGTCCGTGGGAACGCATGGGCCTTGGAACAAAACAACTGCTTTCCTGTTAGGTTTAGGGTTTAGGGTTTATGTAGGGGTGTATGTGTCTTTTTCGGGTTGGGGTTGACGGGTTTTGGGGGTTTACGGGTGTAGCACAAGAGCAACGGAAGATCCGGGTAGCGCTTGCAAAAGCAATGACGATGGTCGTGAAGCAGGCTAGGACGTTCTCAGGTTGCTGGCGTAGAGACCTAGATGGTTTCGGCGGATTTGGGGGCTTCTAACTGCGTTAGCCCTAAACCCTAAACCCTAAACCCTACAGTATCCTGAGCGGTCTGCATCTGCCCCCAAAAATGGGCACTAAAATAGAGGGCACAGATCATGCCGCGAGCTTGCATTTACTCGCAACCTCAGAATGGTCGCAGGCAGTCCGAAGTGAAATCTTTGGTTTGGGGCCTTAGGGTTTAGGATTCAGGGTTTAGGGTTTCGGATTCAGGGTTTAGGGGTTTAGGATTGTACTTCCACAAGTGCGACAGAAGAGATCGACCTGCCCAGGGCCGTGGCACGAGCAAGTCAGGTGGGAACTGCACCTCGGCCGGCCGAAATCGAAACTCCTCCCAGCAACGTACCTGGTTCCCCACCATCCTCTGTATAATAAAGGGTGCTCTTTTGAGGGAGACCCTGAACTGAGGGGCCTAGGGCAAATCCGGCCAATATCCCCCAAAAGAGCCCCCCAAAGTCCAATCAACAGCATACTGTAGCTCCCCCTTAGTCTTGTGTCCAACACCTTCAACTTCATTCTTGGCGCGCCTGGACTTCATTGCCGTCGGCAGAAACGACCACACCCAGTTGGCCCAACAGCTCCTCAAGAACGCAAGCTGCTTTCTCATACTAAGTCATACTACAGGTCTTGCTTGGACGATCTTGTCATCGTTACTTGGAGTAGTGTGTCATCAGTTGCTTAATCCACTGCCATTTGTGCTCAAAACCGACCCTCCTTTCGAGCACAACGCTGGTCGAACACGCCGGCGATCATCTTCTGCGTCCTGCCGTGCGGAAGGGATAAGAACATCCTGTCCACCAACTGGCTTCACGACCACTAGAAACTGAAGACGAAACTAAGCCATGGCCGAGCCGTAGCAAGAAAATTGGTCGCTGAAGGATTTGTCTCCACTTCCCAAGTGTTCATACCGACCATGCTGTCCTTCCAAGTGCGCGGCAACTAAACTCAGGTGGACATCTGCAGAAGGGTCTCTGACAATGAATATCTCTGTCGTCTAGACGTACTGCCTGAGACTCTACCGACGCGTAAAACTACTCAGTCGTCACAGGCCTGTTGTTGAAAGGATAGTCGACTGTAATGGCGCCATGTCAGCTCGCAAGTCAGTTTGGGGGAACTAAGCCATACTCAACACATGAAAGGGTTGTGCAAGATCTTCGTTGTCTACGTTGTTCTGTAAGGTCGGAAGGCTGCGTCCTGTCCAAGGTGGCTTCGTGGCGAGTGACGCGAACCTCGGAGGCTCACAGATGGATGTGGGGACGTCTGAAACTTGGGGGTGCCTTTCGTTATGGCCTTCGGGTTCGTGAATCTCTGGGGCTACCATATGCCTCGGAGAAACGATGACCTGGAAACCACAATGGTTCGATTGGGCCACGCGGCTACTCGATGCTAGAGTCGCTAGAGACCAGAGATGTACCTCGGCAAGACCGAGGTCGAATTAACTGTTCAAGAGCCTAGTATATATGCGTGCGTTCGCGGAAACTCGGCTGAAGATTCGATCTTTGTGCTCCAGTACTACAAACCACAAACTTGCCATGAACTCCGAAACCTCGAAGCCCCGCCCAAAACGGCAGCATGGTCTCAACGAAGCGTGGGCCTTCGTCCCCTCCGGAAGTGGTCGCAAAGCCTCGCCGGTGGCACCCGGTGGTAGTTTTGCAGTTTCTAGGCTTGTTCCCCGATTCCAAGAATGGCAAGCAAACCCAAACTTTAAAAGCAGGGTCCAACACCCTTCCCAGAAGCTTGATTCATGGTGCCATCCAAACCTAACTACCGTTGCACACATAAACTTGTGCCTAGCACGCATCCTGTTCGTGTGTGTGTGTGTGTGTGCCAATAAGCACAATTCACCACTGCATACGCGCATAGGCTGAGTCACACGCGCGCACACATACACATACACATACATATACATGCATACATATATATATATACATACATACATGCATACATATATATATATATGCACATACATACATACATACATACATACATACATACATATATATATATATATATACATACACA